GCGCCCCCACTAGGGTCCCCCCCCAACCCTAGGCGCATGGGCCCAAGGGGGGGCGCCCAGCCCACCAGGGGCTGGTTCCCTGCCCCTTGCGGCTCACGTGGCCCTCCGAGAGGGGTGGCCCCTCCCGGTGGACCCCCGGAACCCCTCCGGTGGCCCCGGTACAATACCGATATGCCCTCGAAACTTTCCGGTGTCCGTATGACAACTTCCCATATATAAATCTTCACCTCCGGACCATTCCAGGACTCCTCGTGACGTCCGGGATCTCATCCGGGACTCCGAACAACATTCGGTAATCACATACAAGTCTTCCTAATAACCCTAGCGTCACCGAACCTTAAGTGTGTAGACCCTACGGGTTCGGGAGACATGCAGACATGACCGAGACGGCTCTCCGGTCAATAACCAACAGCGGGATCTGGATACCCATGTTGTCTCCCACATGCTCCTCGATGATGTCATCGGATGAACCACGATGTCGAGGATTCGATCAACCCCGTATACTATTCCCTTTGTCAATCGGTACGTTACTTGCCTGAGACTCGATCGTTGGTATCCCAATACCTCATTCAGTCTCGTTACCGGCAAGTCACTTTACTCGTACCGTAATGCATGATCCCGTGACCAGACACTTGGTCACTTTGAGCTCATAATGATGATGCACTATCGAGTGGGCCCAGTGATACCTCTCCGTCATACGGAGTGACAAATCCCAGTCTCGATCCGTGTCAACCCAACAGACACTTTTGGAGATACCTGTAGTGCACCTTTATAGTCACCCAGTTACGTTGTGATGTTTGGTACACCCAAAGCACTCCTACGGTATCCGGGAGTTACACGATCTCATGGTCTAAGGAAAAGATACTTGACATTGGAAAAGCTCTAGCAAAACGAACTACACGATCTTGTGCTATGCTTAGGATTGGGTCTTGTCCATCACGTCATTCTCCTAATGACGTGATCCCGTTGTCAATGACATCTAATGTCCATAGTCAGGAAACCATGACTATCTGTTGACCAACGAGCTAGTCAACTAGAGGCTTACTAGGGGCGTATTGTGGTCTATGTATTCACACGTGTATTACGATTTCCGGATAATACAATTATAGCATGAATAAAAGACAATTATCATGAACAAGGAAATATAATAATAATCCTTTTATTATTGCCTCTAGGGCATATTTCCAACAGTCTTCCTCTCTTGAATCTTGGCCATCTTATAGATGTCCCTTTCACCTTTCTTCGTGCCTAACCGTTGGTAGAGGTCCTCATATGCCTGACCCCTTGCTTCATTGGCAGCTCGCTTTGCGGCCTTCTTCGCCATCTTGTACTTCACTATGTTGTCTACACTCCTGTCCAGGTATAGGCGTCTGAAGCAATCTTTCTTCTCTTTAATCGCCTTTTGGACATCATCATTCCACCACCAGGTATCCTTATCTTTACTTCTCCTTCCCCTCGACACTCCAAACTCCTTCGAGGCCACCTTATGAATGTAAGTCGCCATCTTCATCCACACATTGTCCGCATCCCCTCCTTCCTCCCAAGGGCCCTCCTTAATGACCCTCTCCTTGAACGCCAGAGCTACCTCCCCCTTGAGCTTCCACCACTTCGTTCTAGCGACTTTGGCACGCTTACCCCGCTGGAGACGAATCCGAAGCAGAAGTCAGCAACCACCAGCTTATGCTGAGGTACAACACTCTCTCCAGGTATCACCTTACACTCTAGGCACGCACGCCTATCTTCTCTTCTCGAGAGGATGAAATCAATCTGGCTAGAGTGTTGGCAACTATGACAACTACTAAAAGTCACCAGATGCGATTCTCTCTTTCTAAAGAGGGTGTTAGCTACAATCATGTCGTAGGCTAGAGCAAAGCTTAAGACATCTTCTCCTTCTCGTTTCCTGATGCCATACCCAAAGCCCCCATGCACCCCTTCAAAACCTGTGTTAGATGTACCTACATGATCATTGTGGTCTCCTCCTATGAAGAGCTTCTCGCCAATCGACACACTCCTAACCATGTCTTCTAGGCCTTTCCATAACTCCCTCTTGGTGTTCTCATTGTGGCCTACTTGCAGAGCATACACGTTGATAACATTGAGAACTAAGTCCCCAACTACTAGCTTGACCAGGATAATCTGGTCCCCACGTCACTTGACGTCTACCACTTCATACTTGAGGCTCTTGTTGATCAAGATGCCTACACCATTTCTGTTTGCAGTCGTCCCCGTGTACCATAGCTTGAAGCCGGTATCCTCCACCTCCTTCGCCTTCTGCCCCCTCCATTTGGTTTCCTGGACGCAAAGGATATCAACACCTCTCCTCACCGCTGCATCAACTAGCTCCCGAAGCTTTCCTGTCAGAGACCCTACGTTCCAGCTACCTAAGCGAATCCTCCTAGGCTCGGCTAGCTTTCTTACCCTTCGCACTCGTCGAGTCAAATGCAAAGACCCTTGCTCATTTTCCACTACATCCGGGCGCCGATGTACCACACCACTAAGGATGCGACGACCCGATCCTCGCTCACTTGCCACCGTATCCGGATCAAGATACGGCGCATCACCAGGGGGTGACGACCCGACCCTTGCCCATTAACAAAAATATTTTCAAATTTTAAAAATATATGTGAATTCAAAAAATAGACATGAAATTTAGAGATGTTCCTAATTTCAAAAAAGTATTCATTTTTTTAAATCATGAACTCAAAAATTTCCATGAATAATAATTATCTTATGAATTTACCTTTTTAATGAATATTAAGTAATGCTCATGAATTAAAAAAATATTTCTGAATTTCACTATATCCTAAACTTGAAAAATGCTCACGAATTTTAAAAATGTTTGATTATTCATAAAATTTTAAAATGAACACACGGATCTAAAAAAATAATATACCAAAAGTAATCCGAAGAAAATCATAGAAAGAAACCTGTTCCGATGGAAAACACGTAGGAGAAACGCCAAATGGGTCAGTTCATGTAGCAGTACTACCGAGGGTGTGCGTTTGCGTGGTATTCCGGTGTTACTACGAGGGGAATAGTAGGATTGGTCGCGGCGAATTTGTCAAAATAACTAATTACGTGTTACCTCTTACAAAAGTCATTCCCACCTTCTCTGCCGCTGACAACTGGTGCATTTCATGTGCGCCATTTATTGCAACCTTGGATTTCTTTTTTTTCCATAGATTCTATTTTCGTAACATTTTATCGCTAAAACCATGCATTTAAATCACAAACCATTTTCACCTTTGAATTTTTGCGTCAAGATCTTTGAAACTAGATATCATATTAATAGGTTACAACGAACTTTTTCCTCAAAAAATAGGAATAAAATAACAAAAAAAATCCAAAAAATCCGAAAAAACAAAAAAATAATCCAAAACCGAAAACCCGAAAGCACAACCATGCTTTTATATTTTCTAGGAAGCACATTTGAGCTTCCTGTGGAAGCATAGACTGTGCTCTTCTCGCAAATAAGCAATGTTTACTGAAAAGAAAAATCCGCCAAAACTCACAAAAAACCAAGCAAAAATTGAAAAGCCAAAAAAAACAATAACACATGCAGGAAAGGAAAAAAAATTGAAATTCCGAGGGTGACCTAGTGCACAACACGTGGTGGTTGTTGGGCGCAATACTTGGTGCGCTCTCAAGCCGAAAAAGTGACCTCTCGTGGGAGTCATCCAAAAAGTAATCCCTTAATTAGCGAAATTACTACGTAAGGAGTACTTGTTGCAAAGACCACTCCCACCTACCCAGGTTGCGACAAGTGGCGCGCTGCATGTGCACAACCTGAGAGTTTTCCCCTTTTCGTAGATTCATTTATTCAAAACGCTTTATCTCTTAAACTGTGCATCCAAATCTCGAACCGTTTTCACCGTTGGATTCCTCGCATCGAGATCTTCAAAACTATATCCCATGTTGATAGGTTTTCACGAACTTTTTTTATGAAAAAAAACAAACGAAAAAACCGAATCGGGAGCACATAATTTTTTCCCTTGTCGAAAGGGGCACGCCCGTGCCTCCCGCGGAATCACAACTGTGCCTCTCATGGAAGGAAAAAAAAAGAGAAAAAACATTTTTTTTGTTTCCGAGGAGGCACGGCCATGCCTCTGGCGAAAGCACAACCATGCTTCTCACGGAAGCAAAATCATGCCTCTCGCGAAAGATAAAAAAACAAAATACATGTTTTCTGTTTCCGAAAGGCACGGTCATGCCTCTCGTGAAAGCACAACCGTGCCTCTCGCGGAAGCAAAACCGTGCCTCTTTCGAAAAAAACAGAAAACACATTTTTCCCCGTTTCCGAGAAGCACGGCCGTGCCTCTTGCAAAAACACAACCGTGCCTCTCTCGAAAGCAAAACCGTGCCTCCCACGGAAGGAAAACAAATAGAAAATGTGTTTTCTTTCAGTTTCCGAGAGTCACGGCCGTGAATCTCGCGAAAGCAAAACCGTGCCTCTCGCGAGAAAAATAAAATAAAATACGTTTTTTCGCGCAATTTTTTTTTATTTTTTTGTTCCAAAAGTTAAGGAAGATCGGTGGAAAACCGAAACGTCGAAAACCCGAAAAAACCCGTTTAAAAAGCCAAAAACGCGTGCGAAAAAATAAAAATAAAAACAAAATCCGGAGGAAGCATCCAGAGCGCGACACGCAGCGGGCGGCTGAGAACGCGCCAAGTGAGGAGCGCTCGTTAACTAGTTGCTCTCCTTAATTAGTAACTCCCCGAATCTGCACCTCCTCACGTTAAATGCTCAATTGCTGTATGGGCCTCAGTTACCTTCGAAGTTCGAACCTAAAGCCCAACTTATCCCGCTAATATCCAATGTCGCGGAGACCCAACGAGCCAGCCCAGTCACTTGTGACATGAGAATGGCAGCCCACAAGGCCTATATATAGCGCGCGACCCCTCTCTCGCTCGCCCTTGTAACCCTAGCCGCCTGCGCGCCGCCACACGAACCCCCCACCCAACCCGAGCGAGCACCGGCCGAGGAGGAAGAGGAAGGTGAGATGGCTCGCGGCACGGCGGCGACGGCGGCGGCGGCTGCCAAGGGCAAGAAGAAGGGGTCCGTCTCCTTCGTGATCGACTGCACCAAGCCCGTGGAGGACAAGATCATGGAGATCGCGTCGCTGGAGAAGTTCCTCCAGGAGCGCATCAAGGTCGCCGGCGGCAAGGCCGGGAATCTCGGCGACTCCGTCACCGTCACGCGCGACAAGAGCAAGGTCACCGTCACCTCCGACGGCGCCTTCTCCAAGAGGTATACGCCGCGCGCCCTTCCACGCTCCATCGTCCCTTTGCCTGTGTGTGATAGATCTGAGAACTAAGCATGAGCTTGGATTGGTTCATTTTGCGGTGACGTAGTTGCGATTGGCCAATATGTCTGTTGTTTCGATTGTTGCTGTATATTGCTCTGTACCGTATGAGATACATGCCCAAGTTGTCTGTAGCTGCAGGAAGAACCATCTCTATCATGACTGAGCGTTCTAGCTTTCACCTTTGTACAGAGCGTTCTAGCTTTTCCTAAATGCAAATGTCTAACTCAATTAGCTGAATATTTTTCGATTGTCAACAGTATTCAAAACTTGAATGCCACAATATATATCATGATCCTTTAAGTGTATTGTTTGCACTTTATTTTGTTTGTGCAGCTTGAGTATTTGTAGCTAACACCATTGGAACATAAAACGAGATAACTTGCTTTGTCTGAATGCCCTAACTTATCATTGCCTTGGCATTGGAGCTTATCTTTACCTTTCCTAAACACTGAACATTTAGGCCAGTTAGTTATATTCATTATTGAACATTGGTTGAAGTGGAAGAAAGATAGACGATGGCTTGTTTTCTTTCTGTTTGTACAACAATTTGCATGCTATTAGCACTGCCCATCTTTTATTGCCATTTAGCCTAATCACATCATTCTTCTGCTTTCTCAGGTACCTCAAGTACTTGACAAAGAAGTACTTGAAGAAGCACAACGTGCGGGACTGGCTTCGTGTGATCGCAGCCAACAAGGAGCGCAACGTGTACGAGCTCCGGTACTTCAACATCGCTGAGAACGAGGGCGAGGAGGAGGATTAGAGTGCATTGTTATATTGTAGTGCTTGTTGAGTTTTGATACTTGATCTGAGTACCTCCTAGTTATCCACCTATCTTATGTTGTGCTCTGTTGAACATGAATGGTTTAATTTGAAGAATCCTTATATTTTGCCTCCCCTTGACTGTGGGTCCATATGTCTGAACCTATAGACAAATATTATGGAGATTTGTTCCAGTTTTCACCTGAACTGCTGTGTGTTAGGGTGGTGCTTTTCACTCTTGAAGTTTTGGTCAATCTGATTTTGAGCCCCTTGCTCCATTAGTGCTACGCTAATGTCTGTGTGAACATTTTTAGCCATCCTGCTCACTGGTCTGGATGTCTCCTGGAATCCTGCAAATGGCATCAAATTGGGGTAGATGGCCGCCATGTTGGACTATAACATCCTCCGCCATCTTATGTTGCGCTCTATTTAATATGGATGATTTAATTTGAAGAATTCTTATATTTTGTTGCCTCAACTAATATGGTTCTCGTTTAATTTGAAGAATTTTTATATTTTGTCGCCTCAACTAATATGGTTCTGGGTTAATTTGAAGAATTCTTATATTTTGTCGCCTCAACTAATATGGTTCTGGGTTAATTTGAAGAATTCTTATATTTTGTCGCCTCAACTAATATGGTTCTGGTTTAATTTGAAGAATTCCTATATTTTGTCGCCTCAACTAATATGGTTCTGCTTTTCACTCTGAAGTTTTCTCCTGTCTGATTTTGAGACCTTTTGGTGATGATTTGCAGTTGCCACTCAAGTGCTGGCCTGAGTTCTCCCATTCTCAAGATCCTGATAAGCATGTTTCGATAACGTCGACCTTCCAAGAAATTCAGCCTGATGTTTGCTGCTATCAAATTGACATACCATATTAATAGGGATGATATCATTCGGCTAAGCTTTTATCCAAACAGCATTAAAAACCTTGAATTGGTCCTAGTTTCCAACATCTCATTGCTCATTATGCTTGAAAAACATTAACAGGCGATTAATACTCTGTACAAACAACACTAAAGCCGTGAATTGGCCCCAATTTTCTTAAGAGAGAAGCAGAAGCAATTTCCTTTGCTAGCATCATGACAGGCGTTGCCGACGAAAGGCTACTGACTCAGCATCCACCACCCCATTCTTCTCTCCCAAATTCCCAGCCCTAGTTTCGGCTCGCCCTCTTAATCGTAACGTTTAGCCTATCAACGTCTTGTCAAAATTGTGGTAGGTAACCTGTCCTTGCACAAGCCAGCAAACAATTCTTTAGAAGAACCCTCTTGTGAGCTGAGTGAAAGTTCCGGTACAAGTGCGTAACACAAAACATGATGCTTTGAATTTAAACTCCTTTTGTGTTGCTGGATGGCTTATATGACATGATAGTACAGGCTGCCGTGTGGTCAAAAACCCTACTGTTCCGCTCTAGCAAGATGAAAAGCGAAGCGTCGCGGCGATGACTATATTGACTTCCTTGCGGTTCGCCGAGCCGACGGACGATGTGACAAAAGGCCAACACTCCTGAAGCTCCCGCGGTCCCGCTCCCGCCGGAATGAACCGATGCAGGCAAAATGGCAGGAGGGTGTGGTGCCACACTTCGCGAGAGAACGAGCAGCCTAGAAACATTAGACGATCTGGCAGGTTCATAGCTGGCACTGCGTGGTGTTTGGGAGTCCACGACGCAACAGACGATCGGCAGTCCATAGCCGGTTCATAACTGCTAGCCATGTGAAAATCTTCACCTCAAGGGGAGCCCATGACTGCCATATCTCCGCTGCGCAAGGGGCGAACTCACGCCCTTGGAAGAATGCCCGGTATGTGTCACGTGACGAGTAGGATCCTTTTGCTGCTAGTTTCCACGCAAAGGTATCGGGTGCTGCCGTGAGCTGGTAGTGGCCTAGCGCCTCCCAAAGGTCAAGGAACTCTGCAAAGGCCAGGACAGTGGGCGCTTCTCTTAGAGCATCTTCAACAGGCACGCAACCCGCGGCGCGCTAAAAATCAGAATACAGCGCCGGATGAGCCAGGTTTTGCCCGCGACGGTGCGCAGCGGCCGCCGTAAAATAAAGCGCGCCCGAACCGCTCCAGCAGGTGCACTATATTTCATTTTTTTTCTTGACGATTGGATACATAGCATACAAATATGGAGATAGTTCGACACATATCCTGCTTTTACGGTACAAAATGCCTACATCTAGACTTCTCCAACGATATATAGTTCTACTTCGTCCACATAGCCTGCTTCCACGATACAAAATAAAACGAAAAACTACTACTACTCGTCATTCTCCGACTCGGACTCTGCCTCGGTGATGTCCTCCTCCGACGTCTGAGCATAGGCGTCAAGGAACCGCTCGTCGCGGGAGTCCCATGACGACGCATCTCCTAGCGCCATGTTGTATTTAGCGACCGCCTTCCGCGTTCGCTTGTCCTCGCGATAGGCGGCTCGCTCCTTCCTTCTCTCCTCCCTCTTCGCCCTCCTCTCGGCGAAGAACTGTTCCTCGTTGATGATGTCTTGCGGGAAGCGTTACCTCCACAGCGCCATGGCTTCCTCGTCCATCTCGGCCAGGCTAAGACGGCGCTCCCGCCTCTGGTGTTTGCGACGATCCTCGTCAGTGATAAGCCGCGGGAAAGGCGCCAACTCCCGTGCCCACTCCCGCGTCACCACGTCGGTGAAGTTCATGTCCCAACGGGACCGCCGGAGGCGCCACGCCGCAGCGTCGTACGCGTGAGCGCCATCCTGGGCGGTGTCGAAGGTTCCGAGGCCGAGGCGCACGCCGCCGCCCGACCGAATTGAGGCGGAATAGGTGCCGGACGGGCGCACGCAGATGCCGTGGTAGCCCGAACCTCCCTGGCGGCGAGGCGGCATGGTGCGCGGTGGTGTCATGTCGGCGGCGAGGAGAGAAAGCAGTGGAGGGAGCGAGAGAGAGCGGCAGAGGGCGCTGCAATTTTATAGGCGCCGGACGCGGTGCGCCAAATGTAGCGCGCGAGCTGCCGCCTTTTCCCGCGCGCGCTAGTTTGCCGCCATCGCTGGAGCGCGCAAAAACGGGCCGAGCGCGCTAAAAAGCCAGTTTAGCGCGCGCGTCTTTTAGCACGGCTATTGGAGATGCTCTTATAGACTGTACCCAGGTGTGGCCATGCTACATCTTGAGCTTGCGTTGGTTTTCCTTGAAGAGGAAAGAGTGATGCAGCAAAGTAGCGTAAGTATTTCCATCCGTTTTTGAGAACCAAGGTATCAATCCAGTAGGAGGCTCCTCAAAAGTCCCACACACCTACACAAACAAACAAGAACCTCGCAACCAACGCAATAAAGGGGTTGTCAATCCCTTCACGACCACTTTCGAAAGTGAGATCTGACAAAGATAATATGATAAGATAAATATTTTGGTATTTTTATGATATAGATTGGAAAATAAAAGATGCAAATAAAAGTAGATGGAAAACTTATATGATAAAAGATAGACCCCGGGGCCATAGGTTTCACTAGTGGCTTCTCTCAAGATAGCATAAGTATTACGGTGAGTGAACAAATTACCGTCAAGCAATTGACAGAAAAGCGCATAGTTATGAGATTATCCAGGCATGATCATGTATATAGGTATCACGTCCGTGACAAGTAGATCGAAATGATTCTGCATCTACTACTATTACTCCACACATCAACCGACTCCTGCCTGCATTTAGAGTATTAAGTTCATAAGAACAGAGTAACACATTAAGAAAGATGACATGATGTAGAGGGATAAACTCATGCAATATGATATAAACCCCATCTTTTTATCCTCGATGGCAACAATACAATACGTGTCTTGCTGCTCCTGCTGTCACTGGGAAAGGACACCGCAAGATTGAACCCAAAGCTAAGCACTTCTTCCATTGCAAGAAAGATCAATCTAGTAGGTCAAACCAAACTGATAATTCGAAGAGACTTGCAAAGATAACTTAATCACACATAAAAGAATTCAGAGGAGATTCAAATAGTTCTCATAGATAAACTTGATCATAAACCCACAATTTATCGGATCCCGACAAACACACCGCAAAAAGAGTTACATCGAATATATCTCCAAGAAGATCGAGGAGAACTTTGTATTGAGATTCAAAGAGAGAGAAGAAGCCATCTAGCTAATAACTATGGGCCCGAAGGTCTGTGGTAAACTACTCACAACTCATCGGAGAAGCCTTGGAGATGATGTAGAGGCCCTCAGTGGTCGATTCCCCCTCCAGCGGAGCACCGGCGAAGGCTCCAAGATGGGATCTCGTGGATACAGAAGGTTGCGGTGCCCACGAGGTCCGTGGATATATATAGGAGGAAGAAGTAGGTCGGTGGACGCTCGAGGGGCCCACGAGGGTGGGGGGCGCGCCGAGCACCCTTGTGGCCACCTCCTTTGTTGCTTGACGTCCACTCCAAGTCCCATGGACCACGTTTGTTCCAAAAAGATCGCTCCCGAAGGTTTCATTCCATTTGGACTCCGTTTGATATCCTTTCCTTCGAAACACTGAAATAGGCAAAAAAACAGCAATTTGGGTTGGGCCTCCGATTAGTAGGTTAGTCCCAAAAATGATATAAAAATGTAGAGTAAAGCCCATAAACATCCAAAATGGGTAATATAATAGCATGGAATAATAAAAAATTATAGATACGCTGGAGACGTATCAGGCCGCGCAGTGCATTTGCGACACATAGGCCATGAGCCGCAGGTCGAACAAACCTCATTATGTTGGGGGCGAGCTGCTCGACATTTTGTCCGTTGATCAATCGATCCGACCAGAAATGCAGCCTTTGTCCATCACCAAGGGAGCAGTGCAAGGCCGCGTGAGCACGGTGCAGAGTTTCGGGGCACAGCGACATAGGATGACCGTACTAAGGCTTGTCCAAGCCCATCCTCTCAAACCAAAGCCATCGCATGCGCAAGGACTGGTTCAGTAGCCTGAGATTCGGCACGCCAAGGCCGTCGCAAGGCTTGGGAAGGCACACAATGTGCTAAGCCACCAAGCAACACCCCCCTTTGCGTC